TATATATATATATATATATATATATATATATTACAACAAAATAATTTATCTAATATCTCTTCTTGCATATTAATTGCCATCGTTTCATATCAATTTAATATCAAATTTTTAATTTATATATATCATTAATATATTATTTTTATAAACATTGCATGTATAATTTATGTATAATATTTTAAAATCCATAAAAACAACTTTTAATTTAACAATAACAAAACATAAACTTAAATCAAAATTTAATCTTAAATTAAAAAAAATAGTATGATTATTGATATTCACTCACCAAATTTATTACATACCATTTGTAATTTTCTCTACAATTTTATCGGTTTTTATTTCAAGATTATCATTAATACCTTTTGATCTTAAAATTTCCTTTAAATTTCAATAGAAATAATTTTCATTGAGTATTTATTTTGCCATGACTATTAATAAAATTTAGAGTCAGACACCGAAACATGTGGTCATTTATTTTCCTTAACTTATTTTTTCACACAATCAACTATATGTTACAATATCAAGGATTACAATACGTAATAGTTTGAAGGTACTTATACACAATAATGAAGGACATATCGCAAATATAACTTCAAATGTAGTTTACAAAGAAGTCTTTCAAAATTTGAAATAGGTTAATTTTAGAAAATTTAATTATATGCTTTATACTTTATCTTTAAACTATGAATATCATATATTGTCAATTCATCCATGCCCAATGATATATTTACTCATGCTATATTGTATCTTTTATGCAAATAAATATTTACATTTTTTTTTGTAGATGAGTTGAGGAAAAGGAGTATTTAAGTGTTTAGTAACAAATAGTTAATGTCACAAGTAGCAATTAAAGAACGCTATGATTTTCTTTTTGTTTCACTTTCATAAAGCGATTGTAATGGGAACATCCATATAAATTCGGTGATGTCTAATTTTTTTTACTTATATACTTTCAAATTTCATTTATTTTATTTTGTAAATTTCACAACCACCAAATTAATTTATAAATTACTCGTAATAAAAAAATATTTCTCAGCAAACTTTAACTAAATATTAATTCATATTTAGGACATATAATTCATAATATCAATTGAATATAAACTCTTATTAACAATTTTATTTTTTAATAACTCATAATAAAATTATTTAATTAAATAATAATAATAATAATAATAATAATAAACAAATATTTGCCGTACATCTCACAATTCAAAATCTAGTATATATTAAAATAAGAAAGAAGAGTGTAACATAAATAATAAATACTCAAGACATAATTTTGACGAAGACTTTGATCTACGATAATGCAAGATAAACGATTAAACTTAAACAATGACTTGTATTAACAAAGTCATCTAAGCAATAAATTTAGGCGTCTATGAATATTAATTGTGATCGAAACTTCAAGGTTGTTTATTTATTCTGTAAGCTTCAGTTCCTTCAATTTTATAATATATCAAGTAATTATATTGTCGAAATGGGAACGTACCGTTAATTAATTACTTCACGATTACTAGAAATTGCATTCACATATATATATATATAGAGGAGTAATAATGCCAACTATATATATATATAGGAGTAATAATGCCAACTAAAGTGATTGGAATAATTTCTTACTAAATCAAATTGCCAATCACATAAGAACTCCCTATGACTACAATATATGATACTAATAAAAAAAATTCATTTTTATATCCTAACGAATCCATAAACACATTTTATTTTATTTTTTGTTACAAGAAAGACAAATAAGCATGCAATCATAAGATACACATACACCTCTTGGGCACTATTCTAGAAGTAGATGCACCAAACTGTAGAGAGCATGAGCTTTTGCACACAGGTAATGCTGTTTCTGTCACGCCAAATCTGCCATAAAATACAAGGGACCAGAGTTCCACACATAAGAATATTAATCTGCCATATATATATTATAAGAAGTGTCAAATGATCATTATTCTACCGGAGAGTTAACAATTTATTGATTAATTTGATTCTAATAATTAAGATATTTCATTTTTAAATAATGAATCATATTATTTTAATTTTAAGCCCATATGCTTGCTTAATACTCTCATTAACCGCGCTCTTTGTTGTTATTGTGCGAAATGAAAACTAGGTATAATTTTGCATGTGTTTGAGGTTGTTTTCTTTTAATAAATCTTTAATAACAATTTAGATAGCTTAACCTAATAAAGTTAAAGCAGTGCTCAATAATTAAATACATCGAACTCTAAGATCCAAAACTTTAGGGTGATTATATATACAAAACTACAACTATTTTGGTAATTTTTTCTTTACTCGAAGAAAATATTTTTTCCATGACTTATATATGCACATTGTTATATCAAGAGATGCAATTATATCTTATTTTTTTAACAACTCTGATATTTTCACACCTCTTTCCTTACATTCATTTTTCATATATCATATTACTTTTTTTTTTATTTCTCTTTGACTCTACCTTATGTTCTTAGTTAAATAATAAGGTATAAATACTGCAAATAGGTGTCAATATATGTTTACACTGGCTTTACATAGAGATTAGTCAAAATTTCAACCGAATAGCTGTAACATCCCAAATTTTATACAATAGTTAATTATTATTTTTAGATTTATGGAAACTATTTTCTTAAAGTTATTAATTAATAAAAAAGGTTTTTATAGAATATTTTAGAAATTTTAATAATTAATTATTATTTATTTTTAATATTTATAGAGATTATTAAAGGGGTTTTATAATTAAAATAAATAATAGTAATTAAATAATTTTTTTAATCTTATCAACGAATTCCTGTAATAGATAATTCTGTAATATATAATAATTAATTGTATACAAGTTCAATTCACGAAGGTGCTAATTATGTACAAATTGAAATAAATAATAATAGGATAGTAATTTTCGAAGATGCATTCACGAAGGTGCAGTATATAATGATAAGATAGATAATAATAGGATAGTAAATAGTAAATTCTGAATGGATAATAAGATAGTAAATTCTAAAGAGATAAGGTGTACGATTCTGAAGAGATAAGGTAGAAAATAGATAAGGTGCACAGTATAGATAAGATGGTGCGCAGTAAAAAAAATAAAAATAAAAAAAAAATAAAAAAGAAGAAATGTGCATGCCAACGGGCCTATAAATAGGAACGGAACAACAACACATTCAACATGAACTCGAAAAAACAAAATTGGACAGGGAACTTTTAAAGAAAAGTGAAAAGTGAGAGAAAGAAAGAGAAAGAGAAAGAAAGAGAGAGGGAATCTAGAGGAAGAGGTTTTGCTCAAGTTTTAGCTTCTGTTTATTCAGGTAAGGAGGAGAAGAACCTTATCTCTTTAAAATTTTATATATTATTATGTTTATTTATATTATGTTATTTTTTATGTGTATTTATTTAGTGGGGTGTCCCTAACCTCATTTATTTGCTTAATTTATGATTATTTTTATCCATATTAATTATTAAGGTGTTTATATTTTATATTGTTTAATTATTCTATAATGATTATCATTTTTATTTATATTATTG